CATAGCAGGGGGCCAGGTATATTATCAACAGGCCCACTTGCACCCCTTGCCCCCACTTCACAAGGAGGGACTCTGCACCATCTATCTGAGGCACAGTGGCCTCCCTTGGACACAGGCTCTCCCTTATAATGACCGCTACCCCCCCGCCCCTACCCCGGGCCCTCGGCTGATGGAATGCCTGGAAACCTGGTGGGCACAGGTCAACAAGGGGAACTCCCCCTTCTATGCCCAACCAGGTCTCGGTGATACCTGCCAGGTCCGCTCCCCCCTCATGAATAAGTTCTTGGATGAGGGGGGCCTTATTCACCACGGACCTGGCATTGCACAGCATCAGCCGATGGTCCCGGGCCTGAGGATCTGAGGTCCCTGGAAGTCGAGTGGAGCTCTGAGGATCGGAGCACCCACAAGCTTGTAAGCAGCGTGTGCGTGCTCCCAAAACCCGATATGGTCCTCTGCTCCCGCCATATCTGCCCCTCCCACTGACCGTACCTATCACTGACCGTACCTATCAGCAATAGAGTGACATCACACTCTATTGCTGATAAGGCAAATGATAAAATCCATCCAGATTTGATAGAAATATGGTTTCTGCCTCTGATATTTTATTATTTTAACTTTATGGGGTTTTTTTCTGAGGTAGCAGTTGAAAGGTAGCCTGGAAAGAGACTTTCAATTGTTATATTATCAAGAGTTTTCCAGTGCTGGAAAATTACAATTTAGTTGGTAAGATTAAATAGCTAAAAATTTCCTAATTTTCAAACTTGAGATTGGCTCCTGTAAATAGATGCAGTAAGCCTAACTCTCAGAGAACATTCAGTTCTTTGTTTATATCCTTTGGTACTTATATCTTTGGTACTTATATCCTCCAAATATGTACGGAAAACTGACAGCCTGGATTTGAGATCTGAGTGCCATGCGACAGGATGAGTTTCCATCCCAGCTCCCAACCTATCAGTTTGAAAGCATGCAAATGCGAGTAGATAAATAGGTACCACTTTGGTGGGAAGATAATTGCTTTCTGTGTGCCTTTGGCATATAGTCATACTGGCCATATGACCATGGAAATGTCTTTGGACAACACTGGCTCCCATGGGCAAGAAACACACACACACACACACAAACCAATCTGACTGGAATCACAAGCAAACAGTGTACACTTCCAGTGAGTTCTTGCATTGAATTTGAGGTTAGCAAATGCTGTATGTTGAAAGCTTGCAGCTGTAGGTTTATTGTTCACATGTGCAATGCATTTGCAACGCTTCCATCATAACCATTATTATCATCTCTCTTACAGACCTGAAACTCATTAATACCCAAGCCATCTTTGCCAGGAAGACAGGAATGATCATCTTGGGTGGAGGCCTTGTTAAGCACCACATTGCCAATGCAAATCTGATGGTGAGGGAAAGTGGTGTGTAGTAGCCACAAAGCCAGGGTTGATTTGGAAGGGAGAGACTATGGTATGAGATAAAACATTTGTTTAAGCAAAATGAATATAGAGACATCTTGGTGGTATTTGGTATACCTCAGTTCTTATAATTTTAACAAAATGGCTTGCAACAATAAAACAAATATTTAAAGGCAATCTAGTAATCCATTATACCAGACAACAGTGCAGAAGGTGAACATTTTTACTTTGGATAGTTCCCCAGAAAATTAAAATATGGCTGTGAGTATAGCTTTGAGTTGTTCAATTGACAGGTCATCACCACAAAACTGAAATTTCCAGTTGAGGTCATGGTAATTCTTGATAATCAGGAAAACCCCATGCTATGAGTTTGTTCCCTGCATGTTGAATGTAAGGTCAGACCTTGGCCATTCTTCTTCACATTGTCCTGTTTAGTAGGGCTTGGAAGGACTTCTACAAGGAATGTTGATGTTCTTCTGCCAGAGTGGATAATATTAGGTTAAATCATTATTGGGTCTAATAATCATTTTTTGAAGTTGCTCTAAAGCACCCGTTCATACCCTTGCATTTTGGAAAAGATTAGCTACATCAGGGCAATGCTGATCTTAATGACAACTGAAGTGCTCATCATAGCCCTGCTATATCTAATCAAGGATATAATCAGTCAGCTGAGCCTTAGAGGTCACCAAGTTTTTTTGGTTTCCAGAGAAATGGAGCTGACTTTTCCGTATATGTCAACACCGCACAGGAGTTTGATGGTTCAGATTCAGGAGCTCGGCCTGACGAGGCAGTGTCCTGGGGAAAGATCCGTATGGATGCCAAGCCTGTCAAGGTATGTGTGGGACAAGAGATCACATGCTGACAGGGATGGGGGCATGATTTCCAGGACTGCCATTATAACCAGCCTGACAGGCAATTTGATTTAGAAAAAAACAGATGAATATTTTGGAGAGGGACCAGTCATCTCAGCTACCGTGTTTTTCTCTTATCAGGTCTATGCTGATGCTTCTCTGGTTTTCCCATTGCTGGTTGCAGAGACTTTTGCTCAGAAACCCAATGCTTTTGTTCAAGAAAAGAAAAATGACTAAACTGGGAACTGCTGCATGAGGCATTATATCTGTTCAG